GCAATCCCTTCTCCTCCATTCTCCTCTTGGGATCTTGGGCATGCACGCACACGCTCCCGGCATGAGTTTTAAGTCACCGGGTCCGGGACGTGAACCCTGGTCGACTACGTGGGAGTCCAGTGACATAGCCATTATGCTAACTGCTGGTTCCCAAACTGTTACAGTTTTTGTAGCAGAAATTTTTCACATCTTTGGTTAAATGTATTTCCAGGTAATTTATTTTATTTTATTGTTGTAGCCCTTGTAAATTGGATTTCTTTCTTGATTTCTTCTTCCACTTATACTTGCATTATGAACTTGAATGAACACATATCTTATTTGTAGGGTTTACAGATTTAAAATACAAAGATAGTTTTTGTTAATTTATATGTGTGTATAAATATGTTTGAGGTATGTTTATGTAAAATATATGTATATATACACAGTCCATGTGTATAATGTTTCTTCTAAAGCAATTCAAATGAGGCCTGATCATGATACAGTGGTGTAATATGATGCTCTGAGAGCAGGAACTATGTAGAAATGTTCCAGGTTTGTGTCCAGAGACATCCCTGCATGTGGCAGGAATTTTGATAGTCAAAGTCCAGGTCTAAATGAAACAATTTGGTGACTATAATAAAAGAATTTAAGAAAATACATTTAGTATACTTTAGATGGTCAAGGATAATAACTGTATTTTTCTTCTGTTAATTTGCTAAAAGTAACTGTCCTTCACTGGAGAGAGAGATATGGAAAGAGTGAGAACAAGCAAAATGCAGTACACCCTCATTGCCCCCATGGTAGCATAGTCATGCCGCAATCCCTTACCCTTCATTTCTCTCTCTGTTTTGGATTTGGGAATACATGCACATGCACCTAGCATGTTTATCAAGATTCCAAATCTAGAAATGCAAGCGCGTGATTGGCCATGTTGGATCCAACTGTCTTAGCCACCTACTTTAATCTGGAGGCTAGCTTATAACTGACTTTTTATATCGGGTCATTTATTATATTTGTTCCCATATTTAAAGAAATAAAACTAAATGTGCCATTATTTTGTTTTAAGACATAAAGTCAAATTTCAATTCACTTCATTCACAATTCTGGAAGGAAAGAAGAACATTTGTTTGTGATTGAACTTTCAGAACAATGTTTTAGATGGTAAAAGAATTTACTAATATACCTTGAAAAATAAATGTTACAGACATTTGATGAAAAAAATTAGCTTCTGTTGATTTAATACAATATTTGGGTGAGTGAATTAATTATTAACCAATGTATTATATACTGTAGTTTCAAAAATAACTGAGTAGGTCATGGTCTCTACATGGAGAGATTATGTTTGACTTTTTACAAAATGGTTAATAATTTAAAGCCTAAGCAATCTTGAGGTTTAGCTAACTAAAGGAAGTATCTTTGGACTTTTTATTGTATACTTTGAGTTAATGATAAATAAACAAAAGGAAACCTCACTATTATACCTATGTAGTTTAACACCTTTGTTCCCTCCTTTTCACTTGTCCCCTCTGTTTTTCTCACTAGAATTAAGGTCTCTGTCTAGTTTATTTCAATAATAGTAATTCCGTTGTTTTTTCATGAAAGGTAAGTGACAGTTAGATGGAACATGTCAATATTGCAGAAACACTTCTTTTCTCATAGGGGTTGAGTGAGCAATCTAAAGAAGTCCATTAAGATGCTCCCATCAGAATGGATGTACAGCCTTGTTGAATGATGAACAGAATTTATTTTCTTTTCTCTGATTTTCTTGAATTTTTAAAACAAATTTTATACATTTTATTACTTTATATTACCACAGCTTGTAAAATGAATTTTTCTAGCATGAATACACTGTACACCAGGACAGTTAAAGATATTATCATACATGTTATCAACAGACAATCCTCCATTCGTTTGTCTCTTAAATGTCTTGCCACTCTATTTTTCTCCTTGACTATCTATCTCTCATGCTCCCACACCTCTCATCCTCTTCCCACACTGTTTCCAGTATCTGCAACCAAGGTTCTGTTTCCTCCAACCTTTTAGTTTCTGCCATAGAGTGCAGACATTTGGCATATGTTAAGTGAGGACATACAATGTCACTCTTTCATAGTCTGGCTTGCTTCATTCAGCAGTCAATCTTCTATATTTGTTCACCTTGCATCAAATGCCATGGTCTCATTTTTTTTTCCATTGTGTAGTATTCCATAGTGTTTATTTGCCACATTTTTTTTCTTTTATATTTTTAGAGAGATTTTTGGTATAGAGTGTGTGCACTTGCCAAAGGGACAGAAAGACAAAAAGTGAAAAAAGGCCCCATGGGGGAATGACCACATTACAAAACCTTTTCCTCCATTCTTCTCTTGTGATATTGGGCTTTCATGCACACACAGCTGTCACGAGTTTTAAGCTCGCAGGTCCAGAACACGAACTGCGGTCAACTATGTGGGAGTCCATGACATAACCATTATACTACTTTCTGGTTCATGAGCTAGATGGGATTTTTTTAATCCATTCACGTGTTTTTGGACATTTGGGTTGGTTAGAATCTTTTATAATGTAATTATACACATAAGGATTTTTATTAAATAAATTCTTCCCAGAAAAGAATTACTTGCTTTGGAGTTTAGAAAAATATTTCATGGTGTTCTGCTGGTTCATTAGAAAATGCTGAAACTCTTTGAATGATATTAATCATGCTTTGATAGCTAGTGTGAGGAATAACATGTAGACATAAACTAAATTACCTGAATCTCAACCTATTTTACAAGATTAATATATTGCCAGTTTGACTTAATACTTCTTGGCTTTAAATACTAACCTCGGAATCTACATAATAGTTTCTGAGCCTCTTCATAGCATTTTTCATCTCTTTATTTCTCAGGCTATAGATGGCGGGATTCAGGAAAGGTGTAATAACAGAGTAGAACACAGCAAGAAACTTGTCCACCCAAGGAATGCTCAGTGGCCACACGTAGATGAAGATGCAGGGCCCAAAGAAGAGCACCACTACAGTGATGTGGGCAGTGCAGGTGGAGAGAGCCTTAGACACAGCAGTTTTAGAGCGCTGGCGGACAGTGAGAAGAATGTACGTGTAGGATATCAGTAACACAACAAAGGTCAAACCTAGAACTCCACTGGCACCATTCAAGAATATTCCCAAGGTAGAAGTATCCATGCAGGCAAGCTCTACAACCAGAGGTATATCACAGAAGAAGCTGTCTATTTCTCTGGGACCACAGAATGACAGCTGTATAATCATCACCATTTGACTGAAAGCATGCACAAAGCCAGTGATCCAGTAACTCACCACCAACCCAATGCACCTTCGTAGGCTCATAATGGTAGAGTAGTGGAGTCAAAGGACAGGTTGGCCAAGAAGAAGTACATGGGGGAATGGAGATGGTGGTCAATGATGATTAAGGTCACGATGAGAACATTTCCAAATACAATGATCAGGTAAAGCATTAAAAATACCGGGAAGAGTGAGAGCTGTGTATTCCAAGAGTGGCAAAGTCCCAGAAGCACAAATTCTGACACTACCGACTGATTTCCTTCATCCATATTATCTTGCATGTCCGCTAAAATCACATAGAGAGAAGGATAGACTTTCAGTTAGTGGAATGAGACAGGGTACTTAATATTTAGATTTGGGTGTTCACATTGACATCTAACATCTACATTTGAGATGGCATAGGTAATTGCAAAGAAATCTCCAGGGTGGTACTAGGATATTGTGTGAACACAGCAAGCTATTACCACATCTTGAGTCTGAGTTGCTCTGGTCATTATTGTGAGAACTCAGAGCATGGGTTCGGACTGAAAAGAAATTTTCCTAAAGAAATTAGATGAAGCACATGTTTATTGTGGAAAAGGAGACGGGATAATCTCAAATTTCGAATAAACATATCCTCCATGAACGATATTTAATTAATGTCTACAGAAAATATCCTAATGTGACACCTGATATATTTATGCCCCATAAGAAACAAATAATCAGAAAAAAAAACTATTCAACGACTGCAGTAAGATATATAGCCCTAGCTAGGTGCTACTTTATAGGGTGCGTAAAGTTAGACTTGTGTTCATGGAAATATATATATCAGCTGTGTTTGCTATGAAAATATTTAGATTAATTAAGATCTTTAGTAATTCAATAAAATGTGGGGGAAAACAGTATAGGAAGCAAACATAGATACCAGAGACAGTGTGGGAGGAGAGTGGGAGATGGCAGAGGGTTAGAGATAGGGAATCAAGGATGGAGGAAAAAAAGCAAAATATACAGAAAACAAGAAATGGAAAATTATTTGCTGACAATAACATGTTTGTTGATGTGCTTGATTGAGACAATATACAGTGTACTCTGGATGGAAAATTTCATTTTGTATGCTGTAATGATGTACAGTGAATGAATGCATATAAATAAATTTAAATTAAAAAAAGAAACAAATAATCTGACATCATTTTGAAACTTATATTTTTATGAAGACAAACCTTTCCAGAAGAAAATTTCAATAACTGGTTTTGTAGTCTTTTGCATAAATTACAGAGAAGATAAATAAAAGCAACAGCTGGTTTTAAACACAGTTGAGAAAGAATTTTTTTTTTTTTTTTGGAGAGATTTTTGCTATAGGGCATGTGCGCTCTCCAGACAGAGACAGAGAGATAGAAAGCGAGAAATCACCCCCGGGGGGATGGCCACGCCGCAATCCCTTCTCCATTCTCCTCTCAGGATCTTGGGCATGCACACACATACACACGCCGGTCGACTACATGGGAGTCCAGCGACATAACCATTATGCTAACTGCTGGTCCCGAGAGAGAATTTCGATAAAAGATGAACATGCATTTTCCTGAGGAGCAATTTACAATTATAACTTAACATTGCTTTTTAAGTTTCTTTTAAAAGTTTGTTAAAATTTTTAATTTTGTGGACTAATTATGTTACTTTATTAATATTAGTCTCATATTTAGGAGAATAGCAGTAGACTTCTTTTGATTACCAGAGGGCAGATGCACTCATTGGGAAGAGACAGAGATACAAAGGAGAAGGAGAAAGGACCCTCAAACAGTGTGATCATACCACAATCCTATCTCTTCCATGTATCCATCTTGTCAGGATTCTGAGCATACACACACATGCACACACACACACACACACACACACACACCCACACACACACACACACACACACACACACACACACAGAGCACGTTGGCATGTTTTCAAGACACAAGTTTGGGATTCGAATCACACCATCTTTGGAATCCAACACTCACTCCAACACTAGGCCGTGGTGATGGCCTGCTACAGATTTTTTAATTAGGACCTGTTCTGAAACCTCAATGTTTTCCTTTTTGATGTATTAACCTTGATCTGTTCCCATCTCAGATGTTAAAAAATAAGTACACAGTCTAATACATGTGTTACTGTTTTTTTTTTTTTTTAGAAGTTTTTGTTATAGGGTTTGTGCGCTTGCCAGACAGAGAGAGAGAGAGACAGAGAGATAGAAAGCGAGAAATCACCCCCCAGGGGGGATGGCCACGCTGGAATCCCTTCTCCTCCATTCTCCTCTCGGGATCTTGGGCACATACGCACACGCGCCCAGTGTGAATTTAAGCCACCGGGTCAGGGATGCGACCCGTGGTCGACTACGTGGGAGTCCAGTGACATAGCCATTATGCCAACTGCTGGTCCCTAATACATGTGTTATTGTGAAGAAGAATGAGAAAATACTTGGAAAATTCTCAAACTTGAAAAAATTATTTTACCACTATATTTTTTGAAATTAGTCTAAATGGAGTATGATTTCTAAAGTTTTCAAAATTTTTAATGCATATCTAAGAATTTTCTATAAGAAATTTATATACAGTTACCTTAAAAAAATACTGACTACTTGTATTTTCTCTAAATTAACATACAACATTCAGCAACACTTTAGGAAGTACAGATGCAAAAGACACACCAGACAGACATTTTTCTTTCCAGGAATGGAACAACTCTTCTATCCTTCATTTCGGCACTTGCACAGAAAGGATTATTAATATTTTGAGAGGACCTGCAAGAGCTATAGTACATTCTTCTCTAAGTGCTTTTGGAATTCTTATGTGTAAGTCTCACAAACTGTGATACTGGTAATTCTGGAATTAGAGAAATTAAAAAGTTAGGAAAAGCAGACTAACTAAATTGCTCTTTTAGGAAGTATAACATATAACAGTATGGTGTCTTCCAGGATCATAAACTAGGCACAGAAATCCAGGTACAGAAATTAAAATACTGTATGATCTCACTTCTAAGTGGAATGTAAAGTGGCAAACTCACAGACGTAGAGAGCAGAATGGTGTTTCTCACGAACTAGAGTGAGGGTTAGTAGATGGGGAAATGGTTAAAGGGTTCAAAATTTTATTTATATGGGGTGCAATTATTTGATTTCTTGCATGCCTGGGGACTATGGTAATAAAAATTTCCTGGACTTTCACATGGCCAATTGTGATTTGAGTCCCAGATCTGGCGGCTTGCTTTCTCACTTTCCCTCTCTCTCTCTGTCTCTCACAGGTCAAATTAAATGATAATAATAATAAATTAAATAAATAATTCTTTAAGAAGTAAAAACGTATTTTATATTTTATAATCAGAGTGTAAATTTTAGAAGTCTCACCATAAATAAATATAAATGCATAAGGCGAACATGTTAATGGGCTTTATTTAATTATTTCACATTCTATACATGGATCAAAATACCAGATTATACTTTATAAATAAATGATTATTGTCAATTAAGTAAATAAATAAAACATAACACATTTTCTGCATCTAAATGCAATATCTCTCCATAAAGATTATTTTGTATAATAACCTTAAACTTAACGAGTTTCCTAATATTCATATATCTAGAAGGAAAATTCTATTCTTCGAAAATTGAGTGGATGGCCTGAGGCTTAGCCTGGCTGAGGTAAATAGCAGGAACTCTATGTTTTTGTGAGTAGCTCATTCTGCCTTTCTTTTCCCTGAGCTTCTGAGTTGTAGTCCTATTTCTGTAGTAATCTCATTACTCCCAGGATATATACCCCTTTTTCCTTTTCTTTGCTAAAGGTAATCTTAGCCCACAATACTTCCTCTGATCTGATAAAAATGCTATTTTATTATATGGACCTGATCATGGAGAGGGATAGCTGGAAGCTGCTTACCTCAACTAAACATCAAAGAACTGAGATCTCCCAAGAGCTGAGAACATCTCTGAGGCTTTAGAGTGGTGTGTACATTCTTGTTTGAGAGTGATCATAAAAATTACAGCGTGTATCAGATAGAAGAAGAAACTGGTTTTCTCTTTTATGAAAATTTTACAAACTAAGCAAGTTATAATATATAACAGTAAGCTATATAAAATGGATACATATAAATATTTTAAGAATTATTTTAGAAAAGAGTCAGATGAAGGGATGACTTACTAAACACAATTTCTTTTTCAGAGATCAGAGTCTCTTTTATTCTTCTCTTCTGACGTGTGCTTGAGAGGACTTCTATTGTTTGCGTGGAGATTGTACCTTAGAAAATAATTTCTCTCTGCCTGACGTATTATAGTCTCCATATGAAGGAGTCCCTATGGTGAAATTCCCCTGCTGCATGTCTTGGACAGAGTAATAATTATGTTAGTTTTTTAAACCTAGAACTTCTATTAGAATATTTTCTGTTATGAACAATGGCATCTTTAGCTTATAATGGTAAACAGAAGAGGGATTAAAGGAAATATTCTATAAATCAGCCAAATGTTAAAAATTAGTGAATTAAAATATTTGTATTCTAGAATCTTGATCTATAATTTAATCTATTATAACCAGACTCAAAGTTTAAAAAATATGTTAATCTAATTTTTTATATTCAATCACTCTATATCCTTACAGCATACCAAATGAATTTTTGCAGCACAAATACACTGTATATTAATCCAGCCAAAGGAATTACCATACCCATTACCTGACTGTATATTTCAAATCACCTTGGAATCACCTAAACTTAACTGTGAAAAACAGATTAATTAACCAATAAAAGTAAAATAATCCCAACTCCCCAGTAAATTTCTAGCATAACACTATTTTTTTACTTGCCTAAAACTGCTCTATTTTCCCAATATTAAGGATTTTCTTCAAAAAAATTAATAGTTCAACCAGTCTCTATCCACTTGAATGTAACTGTATGAGACATGCAATCTTTTTCTTAAATTATTTTAATTATTTATTTTCATACATTTAATCAATGTACATCATTATGGCTTGTAAAATTTTTTTTCCCAGCATGAATATACTGTCTATTAATCCAATTAAGGATATTTTTATTCATGTTATTATGAACAGATAAGTTTCCATTTTTTGTGTCCCTCAAATTTTTGCCTTTCTTTTTTCCCTTTATATCCTGTCTCACCCTTCCCCAATTTTCACCATCCTCCCACACACTATCTCTGGTATGTTGCTCTCCATGTTTTTTTTAATTTTTAATTTCATTTTCTTTTATACAGTCAATTACATTATTTAGCTTACAAAGTATTTCAACATGTGAACATCTCTCC